ATTTAATAAATTTAGAGTTATTTCAATTAATTTAACAGTTGGATATAATGTGATAATAAGAAATTCAAACTAGTAATGAGTTTTGAAAATTTCAAGTAAATATCGTAAATATATAAACGTAGGTACTTCATAAAAATTATCATAAAATTCGATAAAATTAAAAAAAAACAGCTCATCATCAAAGTTTGAAGTTATTTTATAAACGAATACATACTCATAAGACGTAATATTAATTCTAACACACCTCTAAAATACATTCGTTTTGACAATGGGTCTACCTACTTAATAAATATTTGCAGTTGCCTACCTACGCGCGAATAATACCCGTTCACTCATATTTGGAATAAAAACGTTTATAATTTTTTAACATAAAAATCTCAATTAAAATATTGATAGTAAAAACAAAAAGTTATCAAAATATAAAAAAATATTAATTTTTCAAATATGAATATTAAATAATATGTTGTAGTAAAGCCTAATATTTTTTTAATTTTTAATTAATTAAATTAGTTATATTAGCAGACATAATCTTTTACATAAATACAAATATTACATAGTTCTTCTTATACATTATATTATACTGAATATAAAATATAAAAATCTGCTTAAAAGCTGTCTGATTAGTCTACAAGTCTTTTACAAGAAGATGTATTGTGGTAAGCGTGGTTTTAGCCAATTTTTACATGATTTTTCGATAAAATGAAAAACTCTTTCGGTTTTTTTTTGTTGTATTATTGAATGTGTTGTTGAATTTATTTATAGTCAATGTTGAGAGGTAAGGTATTCTGTGAAAATTTATTTCACAAGAACATTTTCATATTTTATTACACATTTTCTTATTGCTGTAGGTATATTATAAGAATTCAACTTATCAAAAAAATATAGCTTAAGTCAATGTTGTGTTAAAAATAAAATTGAAGCATTTCTAATTAAAAAAAAAATAGGTTTGCACTTCTTTAGAATACTATCCGTAAATGGAATACAAAATATTTGAAAATGTGATTTTTAAATGTTGTTACTTGAAGACATTTCAAAAATTAGAGTTAATAACTAAATAATTAAATAGGGGTAGACATACTTGCAGATGATTCATTCTTATGTTATAAATACACTATACTATACGGGGGTAAAATACTGATAGCGTTTGTATACTATTATTCTTCGTTGTCAATGTGCCGGGATTAATTTATTGCGTTTGCAGACATAGGAAATGTTTCAATGCAAAAAAAAAAAGAAATTGCCGATAGCAAATATCATATTATTATTGTTGTTGTTGAAGTTGTTGCTGTTTGTATATACAATCGTTATATCGCGTTGAATCCATGTACACGTATCGAATACATACTATATACAACTGGGCGATATTATATTATAAATACAAGCTTACAACCTACTATATGCGCGTTGGACGGAGGAAACGCCCTGCAACAACCCGCGCGTATTATGCGCGTTATATATTATATTATATTATATTATGCATACGTAATATTATTTACGGATCTGAGTGCAGTGCTCGAGGCGAGAACTGTATAATGTTATAAATAAAAAAAAAAAAAAAAACAAAAACAAAAAAATGAAAATAAAAATAAATATAATATACATAATATTAGTGTAGATTATAAATTATTACATAGGCCTCCTTCGTGGATGTACGCGTATACGGGACTGTGAACTCAACGGGTTTTGCATACCGACCGATTTGTATCGGAAATCACAATTATTATACAGAACAGATGATAGATACGAATCCGATTCGTGTCGCAGACCGTTCTAAATATGAAATGTTTTGCACGTTTACCAGACGCAATAATGCGTGCAGTGCGTTATATAAACGCATGTGCCCAACTGTTTTTATTATTATTATTAGTATTATCGTTGCATATTTTGTTAAAAAGTAATTTAGAAAAAGTTATTGAATTGTACCAACTACTTAGCGGGACACGCGCATATCGTATACCTTGTATTAGTTGTATTATGATATATTATGATATATTACAAGTGCGTACTATATGTATATAATAACATATTGATTGGATATCATAAACTTTAATTTTCTACGAATTGTGTTTTGTTTTATCATTATACTAAAAAAACGAAATAATATTATGCAGTACAAAAAATCTTATATTGCACATAATTTATCAATTTTCAATGCATGATAAGAATGTTTACACATTGGAAAATTTAATTAATTTACGTGCATATTGCGTATATACGAAATCTTTCAAATATTATATCACAAATAAATAATAATGCTTGTAATTGGGAAAATATTTTTTTAACATTTAGAACATTCTACTAGATATATTTTTTTTCGTTCAAATAAAAGAGAAAAATCTGGGGAAATCGTCCTGCTATATAAATTCTGTGAATTTCGAGAGTAGGTACCTAATTTGTTGTCATTAAACAGATTACTGTTGTAATAGATGTGATAAATTTTAATTTAATGATATATCATTGTATATCTAAAATGATTCTAATCTACCCACAACTACAAAAAAAAAAAAAACAATTTTGTCAAGAATTAGTTTTTCATTAGTTTTTATTTGCAAAATACACAAATACACATAATTGGAAAATCAATATATTCATTGCTTCACTAAAAATGTACAAAAAATAGTTACTAAATATATAAATGTTGAGTTTATTTGAGATTCCATTATCAAACTGATTTGTATTAATCAATAATTTGACAACTGTATTGAACGATTTTGAGTTTATTATGTAGGTATATAAATTTAATCAGATTCATGTATCTTATAGGTACTATATTATTATTTTTTTTATTTTGAGTTATGATTTATAGTTTTGTTCACAATTTACTTGCATCGAGTATTTGAGATAACGTTTATGTTAAAACATATAAAATTAATAATATCATAAGGCTTTGTGATTTATGCGGACTGTTTGTGATTTTATATTGTAAAACAATTTAATATCCTTTTTATTTCGATAATAAGTCACTTTGTAAACGGATTACGTACGTAAAGGATTTCTATTAAAGTATTTAATAGATGTGACTTATATTAGAGTTTTTAATGTTTCTTGATGTACAACACATAAAACTGTACAATTAACTAAAAAAAAAAATCACCAACGCAGCAGTGTGGACTTTTCAGTTTCCATGATTCGTTAACGAAATTTTACGCATAAAAACCCTTAAGAAGGAGAAAATCATATTCATCATACTTATCAATATTACCAGGAGGTATTCTGTACTAGAGAAATACATGTTTTTGTTTTTTTGTTGGTACGATTCGTTTATTATTAATTTGTATTTTTTAATACTTTTTGTTTAATAATATGTTTTGCGCAAACAATAATAATATAGTATATTACATATTACAGTGTTTGTGTTCGTAATTCATGGGATATAATTCACCGATTAGACTTACTGTATCTGCAGGTGGAGAGACTCCATTGTATAACTTTGCATTGTATAGTGTTATTGCACATTAATTAAAAAAACCACAATAATCGTGAAAATACATCTCACAGTTGTGTAATTTTCATAGCTGATTTCCCCGACTAGAAATAAATGTTTTTGAGATTAATTAAACAGCTGCGCGTTGAATGCGAATTCTTAGATTGGTATTCGTTACTTTGAATGCATTTTGATTAGAATGCTTAGATAAAAGTCTAAAAGAAAATGTGATAATCATGAAGCGTAATGTGGATTAACGTAATACATACTGTTAATTAATTAAAACGTTTTAAATATGATTTTACAAAAAACAAAAAAATCAACAATAATAATTAGTGATAGAGCTTTAAATATTATGTATCTTAAATACTTAATTTTTTATCTAGATAAACTCATTAAATGATGATGTATTCTGAGAAACTAAATCTAATTATTTAATTATGTTTCAAACTTTAATTATAATTTTATAAATAACCAATAAATTTTAGAATTGAAAAGCAACCTATTATTATTCATTTAATTTTTAAGTAAATAATTGAAATTAAAATAAATCATTTTGATACTAAAAAAAATTTAAATACTTGATGTTATAATATGAGTGATAACAAGAAGGGGGGAGGGTATTAAAGAGGTTTTATGCAATAATTGACACTACTTCAAAAATAGTTTATTTATATTGTACAAATACAGTTTTATTAGCTCTGAAAAACTATCATTCAAAAAACTTTTAGGATGCTTTCCAAAACTAAAAAAAAAAAAAAAATGTTTAAGTTCTTGTTCTATAGCAATATTTCACGTCAAATATACGAAGTATCAATAATCAATATTCAGTAAACCGAAAAATGTTTGCACTTGTCCAATATATTTTCTGTTGTTTGAACTGTTACACCATCAAAAGCTGTTTCGAAGCATTAAGGACAGCAAAAAAGCGTTGCCTTGTTTATAGTGTAGTGATATTTGTGAATATTTTTGGTTGATAATTGACAATGTACAGAAAAATGTCTCGCTTCATCACCATAAAATAAAATATAAAATTTATATATAATAACAGATCGACAAATTTGTCGGTTACGGAGAGTTTAACGAATGTCTAATGTATGTACCTATTATTCATTTTTTTTTTCCAGAATCGATTTACGATTAATGTATTCAAAACAATTGTCCTCTCCGCGTTTGTCCGTCGTTTGCCATGTCTGAAAGTTTTTCGTAGAAAGTAAATTATGTATCCTTCATTATTTGACCAATATACTTCATTTTATGTCTTTATCATCAGGTACCTTCTTTCAATTTATTATTCGATTATACGTCACCAAGTCCACGGATATCGTAATAAAATCTACCCATGTAAAGTCCATCAAACCGTATACACGGACGACGATTTAGTAACCCATAATCAATTGCAGTGACGAAATGTGTAATACCGCGGTTACTTGTAGGCCTATCTGATACCGAGCGTGCGCGGCAGACATACGGTCTGCGGCGAGAGGCCAGGTGAACCGGTGGCTTCACGGTGGGGGTCCGCCGTCGTGGTATCAAAGAGTTCGCCGCAATACTGCACGCAGTATTACCTGTGACGTTGCGCCCGTCGGACACGCGTGTTATATGGTTTTTTTTTTTTATTAATCTTATCTCCTCGTTACGACTACCCCGTCGGATGCATTTGATCTACGTTTAATCGGCCACTTCCGCCGCCGGCGGGTAATTTTTCCTGACAGTGCCGCGTATTGTAAAAATACAGGAAAACGAATAAATAATTTTTTTGTTTTGGATTTTTTGCAACGGTTTTGTTTAGTCGAGTTTTAATGGTACAGCAATTATTAATGATCCAGACTTGGCGGCCGACCGCGGGTTGTTGACGACCGCCGCCACCAATCCATATCATAACCGTGGGTGTGTATCACAGCTACATCAAATCGTATCACAGACTTATTGAGAATCGGCATCGCACAGGTAGGTTTTATTTTTTGCTCACAATTACGTGCATTTTGGGGGTACATAGTATGTAATATATAATATATTAGGTACTATATCATATAAACGCTCAATCAGAAATCCACCCTCGGCCATAGAACACACCTTCACATCAGTGGAGGACAGATTCCGGGTCTGCGCACAAATTGATATTATTTTTTTCATACTATCTTCCCGCAAGTTTTAAGTAATCGAATCAGGATGAATATAATTAAATATTATTTATACTAAAATCGAATCCTATGCACGTTTTTGTTACTTTGTTATTTAAAAGTTATTAAAAAAAAAAAAAAATATATCATGTTTTAAGAATATTATAATATTATAGACCGTATAGTGTTTTATTACATGTGTACGATATTTATTTTACCAATTTAAAATTGTATTGAGTTATTGGTTCTTCAATATTTTATAGTTTAAACGTATAAGTTAAAATAATAATAAAAAACAAATGTTTACTTTTCAAAAATATCGTTATCTTTATTTGGAGAAGATTGTATACTGTATACCTCCACACACCAAGGATTCAATGTGAGTTCTTTAAAAGACCTAAAACACACATTTTTATCTTTTTCAATGACAGTTTTAATTTAAGAATATTATTTAATTAGTAAAATAAAATGTTTTAACGTATTTTTAAACAAGTCTAATTTTGCTTATATAATTATAACATTTTCAAAATTATTGATTAGCGCCTAGAATAAAATTAGTATTTAAACTAGAAAGTATGAAAAAAAGTTACTAGGGAAAATAAAATTTTTATTTTGATTGAAATGTATTCTATACAAAGATATCAATTCATGATCAATCATTCATATAAAATTCAAACTTTTAATTTTGTGTAAAATTTGCACGTTTTTGTGCATGGTATTTTTATTAAATGAATCAATACAGTCCACATTAACCATAAGTATACTTCGATAAATATTGATACAGTTGTTATTTCCTGAGGGCTTTCGAATTATTTTCCACACGATAAAACGTGACGTTTTTTCGTCCGTTAATTTTAGTCGCGAACAAGTTACTGACCCCAAGAGAGTATATTATTAGGTTTTTTAAAGACACGAACGAATATTTATATGGATTAAGGTTCGAAAAATAGTTAGTAACAAATTATTTACACAAAAAAACATTAAATATGTGAATTTTTAAAATGTATAGTTTTAACTGAATACATTACAATATCTAAATATAATGTGTTATTCTTTGTACAACCACTAAACCTAATGTTTATTCGAATGTATTGTTTGTACATTATTTGAACAGTTTGAATACCTGGAACCTGGGTAATAATAATAATAATAATAATAAAAATATTATAATACTATTTTAATGTTACCATATTATATTTTATGAACAATATTTTTTTCTTAAAACACTAGTACACAGCAGTTAGATTTAAAAAAATTATAGATCTTACATAAATTAATGTTTTTAATACAATATGTTAAATAAAAAAATTAATTGATTTTTTTTAAATTGCCTTATTATGTGCACATTTAATGGACTACATATATTTTACGCAATAAAAAAACGTAGCTTCCTTACGAAAAATATAAACCCTTAGGTAGACAATTATACGTATCAATAATACGATCAAATATAACGAAACGATTTCAATAGCAATACGCACATTATTCTAGACAGTATAAGAAACATAAGTATAACTATTTATTTTATACCGAGAAGCTCATAAATCACAAGATAAACAATAATATAACATTTGGCGAGAAACGTGACACATACGAGTTGGGTGGGTCACTAAGCATGGCGCCTTCAAATAGTGAATGAATCGATGTTTGCGTTCTAAATTATGGTAACAAACGGATTTTGGTTAACAATAAACCTTTCGTTATAAAAACGGACGAGATTTAATCTTTTCTAATAGGTTTTGTGATTTTTTTTTAAGGATTTACCACTTTTAAGTCCGATACCGGCGCGATTTCAAAACAGTCACAGGATGACTGAACAAGACTATATGTTTTTTACTCACATACAACCAAAGACGTTTGTTTTTTTCGTTTTTGGAACTCTGCAGCGCGTATAGACTACCATATTATTATTATAATACATAATAATGGCATTTGGGTACGCAAAACGACCCGCAGTCCCTCGACTCAATCGAGACGTTTTCCGTCAAAGTCGGGTGACCGATGCTTTTCCCGTTCCCACGGTCAGGTCCGCATCGTGGGGGCGGTTACGACTACGATGTACCTGTACGGTCGACGCTGCAATTACTTAACGGCGGTGGCCATTTGCGTTTTACTTTATCGCATGTATATAATATTATATTGTCGCCAGAAGCCGCCTTGACGATCGTTATTATTGTTACCGGCAGTAGTACGGGTAGTGCGCAGCAATAGTAGTAATACTACAACTACCAAGTGGTATAATAGTTTTAACAATAATATTATTAGAGTAATAGTAATAATAATAATACGACAGAGTATATATAATAAAATTATAGTGTACGTACGGAGATGACGACGATGCGCGGGGTTACTCTGATGTGGTACTGTATGTACTTCATCATGAACTATGAAGCATATTCCGGCTGTTCGTTCGGGTCGTGTCTACCGTCTATTCAGAGGGGCGGCGGAATAGAGTAGAAAAAAAGATTATATAGGTACTGTCTGATAATAACGTAATAATAATAATAATAATAATAATAATAATAATAATAATAATAACACTGTCGTAACATGGCCAATATTACCGTGTGATAGACGGGGGAGGGTCAGTCGTTAGTAGAAAAAAACGTATAAAATAATAAAATAAATACGGGGTGCGGTCGAAATGGTAACGATCTGACACGCCGGGCGTGTGGTCTTCTTTGACTCTATCATTATATAAATACGGATATTATGATATAGCGGTACCCACGTGCATATATACTGATATATACAAATATCATATTTATAGATAGATATACTACATCTATTGTAAGATCAGTCAAATAATAATATAGAACTTAAAGATATAAGAAGTAAGAGCACTATTCATGTTTGTATTAATTTTTAAGTGTATTATGAATACATTATCATAAATTTATTTATTGCGATTTAATAACGTTCATAGTTCGTTTAAAAATTAAAATACCGTGAAAATCCTACATTCAAGCAAAGCTCAGATATCGTTAGTACCTCTGATATATTTAAGTTAACAAAAATTGGTTCTGTTCAATATAAATTTGCATGTTATATGTTTTTATTTAACTAGTACATAATAAAATAATTCGAATAAACGTGTAGACGTATGATTTCGTTGTATAAATCGTTAAGTATAAAATGCTTCGTTAATGTTGCACATTGGTGTAGAACTATAGTTGTGTACTAGTACTTGAGACGAAATTAAATAATATACACAATGATGTAAAGTAAGCGTATTTTGTTCCTTGAAATTTCAATAGAAGACACGTTAGCAGGTCTTCAACTCTCGAATGTAAAATACTGGATGAGTATAGTGTAGCAATTAGCAACTAGTGTGGTGGATTATTTGTAGCATACCCAATTATAAAAATATCACTTTGATAATTTAGATAATTTATGGTTAAAGAGTTCTTATTTTATAGTAATAAATTGAGGTATATTGAATAAAAAAATTATTAAATATGTGATGATTAGACAGAAGAGTTGGTTGGGAGAGATGAAAAGATTTATTGCGAAATACGTAACCATAAGATTATGACTAAATAAATATAAAGTTTTAGTCCTCCATATTTTTTTCATTGATATAATTTGTGACCAATGACTATACTCCGTCTTTAACAATCCAAATTATATTTTTTTCCATGGGTATTATGACAATAATTTAAAACAAATATGTTGTACAAAATGCTGACTAATACAACTTTACTATTAATGGGCAGTGGTCAGTGAGTCTTCATGACATTTTGTTTTTCTGCTTGATTACCGATCGAAATGTGTCACGTACAATAAGTAATTATTGAAATATTATGTTTACACTACACATAGGTAGTAACTGGTGAACAAGAATCGACCAACCAGAAGTGATATGCATAATACACGCAATTTATATTATTATTTTTTGATTTCCGTCGCCGTCTTTCTACAGCTGTGCGGATTTATTATAGTTTCAGTTTGTCGGACTGGACGGGAAATCTATGGGCGTGGCTGAAGGTCGGAATTGTAATATTGAAAAACCGTAGGTACCTATGGCTGTTATAGAGTTTTGCGTGTAATGTACATTATACATTATATTGTTACGTTAGCACCTAATTTCGTGCGAAATTGCAGGACGTGTGTTATATTATTATGGTTTTCGGGGTCTATCATGCTAAGTTTTTGTTACCACTGTGTGATACTTAATTCGAATCGGTGCGAAATTGCGTGCGTCGATCAACGATGTTGTTTTAATAATTTGATACAATAATTGTTAAATGGTATAGTAGTAGTGTGTAGAATTTTTTTTTTTTATATTACTGTTGAAAATTACGAGGCGCCGGAAGTGTATATACATATAATACGTTTTGACAAATAAAACTATAATTAAGATATACAGCGAGTAAAATCAAATGAGAAGTCGTATGTACCCGTGTCCAGCAATAAAGAAGCATCTTTAGAGGTCTATCAATTATTTTTGTATAATATTGTATAATGTTACGACCAATTGTTGTATTATTTCACGATTTCCGGATAATTCTGCCATTACGGTTTTTTATTTACTTGGAAAATATGTGATTTTCGCGTTTGGTTTTTTTCTTCGATTAATATGAAGGTCGCTGGACACACTAGCTATTGTGTATACGAAGTCTTCATTTCCGCAAAAAAAAAAAAAAACAATAAATAACACACTTTTTTGACATAATACCCATGTCCACTTCATTATGCAGTCTTAGATGTTTATTGTTTGACTTACTCATATGTATTTAATTATAATTGCATACGTCCTCGTTATTTTATTAATATTATAAAAAATGGTGGACACGCGATCGATTTATTTATTTGATTACCAAACAA